AATTATTTTTTCATTTTTTTAGTTTTATTATTTTTTAAAATTTTGTAAATTAGCTGAAATTCTTTCGAAATTATTTTATTTCTTTTACAATATTGTGAAATTATTTTATTTTGAAATAATTTCACATCAATCGCAGTTATTTCGAAAGATTTTCAGTATGCAAAATTTTTCGCAATATTTTACATATTTATTTTGCTAATATATGTGTGGATGTTGTAATGCAATTAAATTTTAAGCAAGTTTAAAATTAGTTCTATTATTACTAACTATAGCTGCAAAATGCTCTGTACTAACAAAATCTAAAACTTCATTAATTTTATTAGCTAAAAATTCTTTTGTATGTATTTATCAGAATAATCACAAATTTTAAATAAATATTCTTTATGCTCAGGAGTAATAATCATAAAATTCCAAATTAAATAATTTTTTTTCTAGTCTAACTATCTAAAGCTAAATTAAATTTAATTAGTTATAAAGTTGTTTATTTTTTTAAAAATAAAATATATTTACTTAATGTTAAATTTGAATATTATTGAAAATATTATTAGTCTTTTGATTAATAAGAGCCAATTATTGTTCTAATAAATAATCTAATAAATATTAATGTGTTGGTGGTTTATAAGATAAATTTGTTTCTTTTAATACTTCAATAAAAAATAGATTTTCAATAATATGCCAAGGAATTCCACAAATAGTAAAAGCTCTAGTCCAAGCTTGATAAATTTTTTTAATTTTTAATTGATATAATTCTATTATACTAATATATGAATCTAATTTTCTTGAATATTACTTTTTCTTTTCTTATTAGATTCATTTTTTTCAGAATTATTAGAAAGAATTCTTATAAGAAATTGTTTAATAATTGTTGAATTTGCTTTTGTATAATAATTAGCTAAATGAGTTTTCAATTCAATTAATTCACCACAATGCTAAAGTGTTCTATACAAATTACAAGTTGCTTTATATCTTTTTTTTCTTATTTTTTCTCCTTTAGTAAAATATTCCCAGACTGGACTATATGGACAACTATCAATATTTTTTTTGTCTTTATCTGTAGTAGAAGCTGATATACTGGTATCTTCTTCACTAGAACTCATCTTGAAAAATGACATCTAATATTATAAAAATAGATGTAAATAAATTATTTTATATTAAATATTAATTAAATTATATATAGAAATTTTCTATTAACTTTAACAAATACTACTATAAAATAAATTAACTAGTATAATTATAATAAATTTATAAAAAAATATTAAAGAATATAATTATTATTAATTAATTCTTTTTTATAATAAAGACTTATAAGTAATTTCTTATTTGTATTATATTTTTTCTATTTATATTAATTACTTATACTATTTTATGCAATATTATTATCATATCTATGCTTATTTATCAGAAACAAAGTGCAACAAATAATAAGTATTTCTGTGCAAATCTATACTTTTGATTGAATATTTTTTTTATCTATATATTATATAGTTAGCTAAACCAGATTTATAAATATAAATTAAAAATTAATATTTGAATAGTATACTATGCTATTACTAATTACAAAACAGATTTTATAAAATCTATATAAATCTTCTGTATAAATATATGCTTTAATTAAATTTAATTTTTTCTAATTTGCATCTGAGGCTTTTTGCCTATAACTATATATAACAGCCTATATTTATATTTTAATTTTCTCTAATTTGTATAAATATATAAATGCTAATTTATTGTACATATGTATATATACTATTTATATATATTATTATTATAAATATGTAATGCCAATATGATTTTAAGCATTTATTTTATACTATAATTATTTTTGTAATTATTATTCAGAGTATTACAATCTGTGTTCTTAAAAACTATATCAGAAATGAAGTGATACAAATTATAAAATATATAATTATATAAAAATTTAAATAATGTTTGTTTATAAAAACTTCTTAATAATTGTATACTATATCAAATCACTTAAATTTTATAATGTTATATATAGGTTTAAATTTGTTAGCAATTAACAAATAATATTTTTTTAGACTAATATAGCTAATCAGAAATATCGAAAATTAATTAAATTAGATGCAGAAGTGCAACTATTAATACAATATTTTTAGTTTTTTTAAAAATATTTTTTGTTAAGCAATTTAACTTTATAAACTACTTTTAACTCTAATCTAATATAAACAAACTTTAAAACATTATTGTAAAATTTTTTAAAACTCATTGCTATGTTTTTTTTGAATCTTTCTATTTATGTTATATTATATATGATTCTAAAAATTTATTTGTCCTCTAGAAATCTGTATCACTATACATTACATGTCCAATAATGCATAAGTTATATATTTACTAAATATAATATCAATGTCTTAAGTGCTTGGTTTTATATAACAATATAATGCAACTATCTTATTAATATCTTATCTCATATTGCAACTATACTTGCTAAGTGCTTGCATTTATATTCTCTCAAATCTCAACTATATATTACAAATTGGTGTTGTGTTTCAAATTCCTAATTATAAGATGCTGATCTTTTATATAAAATTTTTTACATAGTAATACCAAATGAATAAATATCTAATATTATTAAATATTGTCCTTTATTCAAAATTTTTGACACAATATATGGTAAAATTCTATAAACTCTACATTTTTCTGTAGTTTTTTGCTATTAATATTGAAAATCCTAAATCTGCAATATACGCATTATGTAAATTATTTAGTAAAATATTACTATTATATAAATTTTAATGAATAAGACCTTAAGAATGAATTATTTCAAGATCAGAAGTAATACAATGCAATAAGGTTAATTTATCAATGAATGTAGATTTTAATGCAAAGAACCCATTTCTGCATAGTTAAAATGATAATAAAATCTTCAGAAATATCATCTTTTGATATTCCATGACATCTTAAAAATGATGGGTGTCTAGAATTAATATTACAATATGTCTTTAACTTTAATATTATAAAGCAGAAGAATTAATAACTTTGTATAATAATTATTAAATGCAATTAATAATATGCAAGAAATAAAAATCACCTTGTTAACAAATTCATCATTACAAGATTTTGATCTGTAAAGCAATTTAAGTACAACAGCTCTTTTTATACTTTGTTTTTGGTCAAACCATCCAGCAAAATATACTGTTACAAATCCTCTCTGTCCTATTTTATGAAGCCTTCAAATTTTTTTATAAGAAATCCATAACAATGTATTTTTTTTTCGACTAATAATTTTTTTACACAATCATTAATATCAAAATTTTCATGCATCCAGTTATTTGTGTCTAAAAATATCAATTAGTAAATCTTAAATGAGTTCAAAAATAAGTCAAATAATAATTTAAATTACCTAATCTCTTATCTTTTTCCCTACTTATAATTTTAAAAGTATATTATAAGAATCATAATTATCTATAAAAAAAAAACCAAAGAAATAGATTATTTACATTTTGTACTGATAATCAGCTTTCTGTAAGTTTCTTGATGTACCAATCCTATTCCTATAACAATAATCAACTTGTGACATTCCATTGAGATAGCCAATATCTGCAAACTTATAATAGTAAGTAAATGCCTCTTGTTCATCCTTTTTAATTCCTATTTTATTAATATAAGCAATGTTCAATTTGGTTTATTGCACTTGTATTTCCCATTTTAGCAAATTTTGATAATGAATAAATGTCTTATTTTGATTCTTTTCAACACCTATTCTGTTTTGATAACAATATCTAACTTAACTTATTGCATTAGCATCACCCATTTCAGCAGATTTTTTGATAATGAATAAATGCCTTATTTTTATCCTTTTAAACTCCTCTTCCATCTTTATAGTAGCATCTAGTAGTATATATTGCATCTGTATCTTTTATTTTAACAGATTTTTGATAATAAATAAATGTCTTATTTTCATCCTTTTTAACACCTATTTCATGTTAATACCAAAATCCAACTTGATTTATTGCACTTGTATTTTCCATTTCAGCAGATTTATAATAATGAATAAATGGTTTATTTTTATTCTTTTCTACTCCTATTCTGTTTTGATAACAAAATCTAACTTGATTTATCACACTTGCATTTTCCATTTTAACATATTTTTAATAATGAATAAATGCCTCATATTCATCCTTTTCAACTTCTATTCTGTTTTGGTAATATTATATATTGCACTCGCATTTCCCATTTCAGCAGATTTTTGATAATGAATAAATAACTGATTTTTCTTTTTTTCAACTCCTATTCTGTTTTGGTAACATTATATATTACACTCGCATTTCCCATTTTAGTAGATTTTTAATGATAAATAAATAGCTTATTTTCATTCTTTTCAACTCTTATTCTGTTTTTATAACAATCTCCAATATTATTCATTGCATTTCATTTTCCATTTCAGCAGATTTTTGATAATGAATAAATGCCTTAGTTTTATTCTTTTCAATACCTATACCATATAGTGTTATGACCTAAACCAAAACTTTTATTTAGGTGAAACTTTCAAAACCTCTGAAACATAGTTTTACCCAAGGTGCCAAGTCTGAAACTGGGTGAAACATCCAAAACTAGGTGAAATGTCCAAAACTGAACAAACTTCCAAAACTGAACAAAACATCTGAAACTGGACAAAACATCTGAAACTAGGTAAAACATCCAAAACATCTGAAACTAGTTAAAACTAGGCAAAACTAGGCAAAACTTAATCTTATTTTTATCAAAATTAATATATCACGTAACTTAGACTTCAATAGGATGATTTTTTAAAAATCACATGATTTCTGCACTTAAATTTGACCAATGGAATTTTCAAAAGTCATGTGACTACTATACATAAAATTGACCAATGGAATTTCCAAAAGTCACATGACTGCCGCACCTAAAATTGACCAATGGGATTTTTAGAAATTCTATTGGTCGATTTTGAATGCAGCGGTCACATGACCTTTAAAAAATCATTGCATTAAAGTCTGTATCACGTAATATATTAATTTTGATCAAGTTTCACCTAGTTTCGCCCAGTTTCGGATGTTTTACTCAGTTTCAGACAGTTCACCTAGTTTTGGAAGTTTCGCTCAGTTTCAGACATTTTGCCCAGTTTAAGATTGAGATGAAACCAAAATTCAAAAGCTGAAACATTTCAAACTTCGGTAAAGGGTTTAGGCTATAATACTAATACCATATCGAAACCTTCTAATTTTTGAAATTTCTTTTTATCTAGAAATAATTGTAAGTAATAATAATATTAATAAACTACTTACATGTGTATGATACTTAAAGTTTAGACAACAAAATGTTAAAAGATTTCAGGCTTAGAATTTTTAGAGTTGATTTGATTTAGAGTTCCAATTCAGATAAATCTACCATCCATTTATCCGTATCTGAATTTATGAGAATATCTTATTCAGATATCAATAGTAAAACAGATATCCGAATAAATTCAGATCCTTGATATCTGATAGATAAATGAATAAACAGATAATGGAATTCTGACTTCTTTGTATGAGCCACATGTTGTGCTTAATAACCACATGCATATGTACATATATTTTATATGAATCATATGCACACATACAATGTTAATAGATACATACAATATTTCATTTTCCAACATGACTTAGTCTTTTACAAAGCCTTCGAGAATTAAACTTGCTGAGAGCTTGAGCTTCATCTTTCTCTAGAGATTTTGCCATTCGCCAAGGGTTTCACCATTCATCAGGGGTTTCGCCATTTGCCAAAGATTTTGCCATTCGTCTTAGTTTCACCAATTTCATGTTTCACCAGATTTAGATTTCATGTTTCGCCATTTGCGAAAAACAGTTTCGCCTAACAACTATAGCCGGAATGCATTGATTCGCTATACAGAAATGTAGTGAAACGAAGTAGTTTATAGCAAATTGCTATAAAAATTATTTAGTAAAGTTTTACAAATTTTTAATCAGGTAGCTGCATAATGTAGTTACTCTAGAACAAGAAATGAAAGCAAATATAGTAGTTAATAAACAGTCCAAGTAACATGCAAGTGAGAACTGATCTAGCATTTCATTTTTGTCTATCATTGAGGAGGTGTTCTAAAACTACGAAATACAAT